TGAGGTGCTTGCAGCAAATGACCTTGAATGCGATGATTTGAATTCTATCTGTCAAGCAGACACCATGGTCCTAAGTAATTATATTGAAGAAATTGTGATATCAGCAATCTCTTATCACTTGATGAACAATAAGGATCCAGAATACCGAAATGGAAAGCTTGTTATATCATCCAAGAGGTAGCAATTAATTATTATTTGATCTTGATATTAGCTTCTTTCACGGCATTTTTCTTCTTCCCCTTTTTTGAAAAGCTGCAAATAGCTTAACATTATATTTTGGCTCTGGAGCAGCTTGTCCCATGGGCTGAATATATTCCAGGAAGGAAAAAGTTGTGGGAAGGATACCTTAAAATTAGAGACAAATGCTGAGTCTGCCAAGGTTTTGCTCTAATGCTAGTTTGCTTTAGAAGAAATCAAGCATTAAGGATCTGGGTCACTATACTTACGAATTAACCATTTACCCTTCTTTGCTAACCTTAGGAAAATGAAGGTGAAGAGGCTGTAGGTGCAAAATCTGAATCAAAATCTGACATCCCTACCTCAGAAAGCAAAAGCGAGACTGAGAAGTCGATTGCTGCTGCGAAGAAAGATGGAGAGAACCCACCAGCACCAAAAGCACCTGTAAGTTGATGACCGTTGACAATTAACTGAAAATTGAGATGAATATGATTGATATAAATGTTGCTATTCAGTTTACATACTTCAAGGGTATAAACAATTACTCTATCCTTCAAAAACAATATAGCTGGAAGAAAAAATAAAGGAAAGCTGATCATCATAGTGATTATATCAAGTTTATTCTTATTTTTCCAATTTTAGCATGATACATGCTATAAAAGGTTAGGAGATTTAAAGGGTTAATGAATGTAGTAACTATAAATGCATTTGTATCATTCCATAAAGTCTTGACAGCTCAAATAGTTCATGTCCCTTGTGTCTTTTTCCTTCAGTGCTTTCTGTTTTTTCTTACTATAGATATAATGCCATTGCAGGAAGTTCCTCCTGATAATGAATTTGAGAAAAGAATAAGGCCAGAGGTTATCCCTGCAAATGAGATTGGAGTGACATTTGCAGATATTGGTGCTTTGGATGAGACAAAAGAATCACTTCAAGAGCTGGTCATGCTCCCTCTGCGAAGGCCAGATCTCTTCAAAGGAGGGCTTCTCAAGCCTTGTAGAGGTATATTACTCTTTGGGCCTCCTGGTACTGGGAAAACAATGCTTGCAAAGGCCATTGCGAAAGAAGCTGGAGCAAGTTTTATTAATGTCTCAATGTCCACCATCACATCAAAATGGTTTGGAGAAGATGAAAAGAATGTGAGAGCTTTATTTACACTAGCAGCAAAGGTTTCGCCAACTATTATTTTTGTGGACGAGGTTGATAGCATGCTGGGGCAGAGGACTAGAGTTGGGGAGCATGAGGCTATGCGGAAAATTAAGAATGAGTTCATGACACATTGGGATGGTCTATTGACCACAGCTGGTGAGCGAATTCTTGTCCTTGCTGCTACCAACAGGCCATTCGACCTTGATGAAGCAATAATTAGGCGTTTTGAGCGCAGGTATATTTCCATAGTCATTTCATGTTGATATTATCTTTGTATTCTGTCTAACTCTGTGATTGGTTAGGTTCCTGATCATTTCTGCATTCACCATATACTAGCAGCAAGCTGTATCTTTAGCAAAGAATGAATCATTTTTTTTTTGGGGGTGGGGGGGGGGGGGTTGTTGTTACTCTGCTTAATTCCTGGTCCTTAAAACATTTTTGCTTCGAGTACCTCAGCATCCCCTTTGGAAGCACATTGTTTACCTTACCCTTGACCTCTATCAACAGTATTTGACCACCTCATGCACTCACTTGATTAGCCTTTGGGCTCACAGCCTTGAGTATCTCTTTCACTCAATCAAGGTTTCTGAAATATAGCTTGGAAGAATCTCCTCTGTCATTCTTAATGTATTCTTCTTTGAATTAGTGTTCATGCAGAGTTTAGTTTATGTACAGTTTTGTTGGACTTATTGTTGACCTTCTATGTTTGTTTCTTATCAAGGATTTTGTGAGATTTGATTGGTACTATTACAATTACCAAGGAAGTCCAAAGTTTAGTTATGTCAGCAATTCATGGACTAACTTGCTGGCAGCTCAATACATCTGAGCATCGTATCTTACTCACGTGCTTTCCATTTTGACCAGAATTATGGTTGGCCTTCCATCCATTGAGAGCAGGGAAATGATTTTGAAAACTCTACTGGCAAAAGAGAAAGTTGAAGATCTGGACTTTAAGGAGCTTGCAACCATGACAGAAGGATATAGTGGAAGTGATCTCAAGGTTTGTATTATAACTCATAACATTTATCATTAATTTATATTTAACTGTTATGAACTGATGGCATTAACTATTGGGAACAGAACTTGTGCGTTACAGCAGCTTATCGACCTGTTAGGGAGTTGATACAGCAGGAGAGGTTGAAGGATCTGGTGACCACTAAATCTCTTCCCAATGCATCTAAGTTCTTTTGCCCCATCTTCCCGTTACTTGTAGGTGTGGACAGTGTATCTTATATGTTTCTGTTTTCAATAACTTTCTATAGGAAAGGAAGAGGAGAGAAGAAAAAGGCAAGAGCTCAGAAGATGCTTCAGAGGCAAAAGAAGAGAATAAGGAGGAACGAGTAATTACTTTGAGGCCTTTAAGCATGGAGGATATGAGACAAGCCAAGAATCAGGTACATTCTAGTTATAATTCTTTTTGTCTCAAATGCTTCAATGTGTCCCTTTGACAAATTTGCATGTTACTGTCATTAATCACCAAACTAGGTGTTTGAAAACTGCCTTTGATTAGTCAGATCTTAGTCCATCTAGATTTTCTACAGATTGGATACTGAACTTAGTGCTAGCTGAAAAATATTGGTCCTCCAACTAGTTTAACTAAAACTGTTAGCTTAATCTTCAGGCTTATAAAGTTTAAACTATGGGTCACACTGTGAACTTTGAACCATAATTTTTACCACAGAATTGTACTTTTTTATGCGCAAAAGCTTATTTTAAGTACTACAATGTAGGTTGCTGCCAGCTTTGCTTCTGAAGGATCAATCATGGCCGAGCTGAAGCAGTGGAATGATCTGTATGGAGAAGGAGGTTCAAGGAAGAGGCAACAGTTAACTTACTTCCTTTAGATTGTTGAAAGCAGGCATCTCTTGTACTCAACAATACGGTTCTTTATGAAAGAGATGTGAAAATTTGGTGATGTCAAACGCCCCTTCAACATTCCACTTCCAGTCATACATACATGGCGTAGCATCAAGATGGAAAGCTCTGGCATGGCACGGGATGGGTCCTTGTACAAAGAAATACGTTTTAAAGTATATGTCTGGCATTTGTTATTCAAAAAGGGTTCTTTGGAAAAATGTTATTCCGTTCCATGAACCATTCGCCACCAATCTTTGGGTATTTTAGTTGTGTTCTGTGAATGTATGGTATTTGGAAATGCCTACGGATTTCAACCTTCTGAGCAAGGGGAGTTTTATATTGGACTGTTTTGAGATTCTATAGTAGTTAAGTTTATAATTATAGTACACTATAAAGTATCATTTGTGCAATGGTATCGTATAATCTTCATAGAATATTAATTTGTTCTTATCCTGGACTATTACGCAGTCCTTCCAATGACTTATCTATGAAAGAAGACAAAATTAGCAAAATACAATTAATTTTGCGTATGCATTGCAGAACCCTGCAACCATGATTGAGAAGAGACGCATGTGTTAAACAAATTATGGACTCGGAGGTTGAGCTCTTAATAATCATGCAATCTTTCCTTTTTTATTTCTTTTTTTAGGATAGAGTTTCTTCCTTACCTTAAGTCCTACCGATTTTAGATCAGCAATTTATGTATTCATATAAAATACAAAAATTATCATATTTTAATTCATGTAAATACATTAAATATAAAATATATTTTTTGTTTTTATCATAATCATATAATTTTTACTAAAATTTTAAACCTTATTATTATTTTTTTCATATTGTTTTCATATCAAAACATCATGTTGTATTTTAAATTTTCAGATTTCAAGTTTTAGGTCTACAAACTGTAGTAATAGTATGGGTAAAAAAAATCCCTGCTTCTTTGAACAACGGTGGGAAAAGAAGACATACCAGTGCGGACGGCCTCGATTGAACTGACTCCTGCTTTGTTACGTCAACAGGCAAACTAAATACCAGTGAAGACCCCCCGATTAAACTGACTCCAGCTTTGTTATGTCAACAGGCAAGGCAAGGAAATGGTGTTGCCTTACTGCAGTTTGTTTCCTTTTTCATTTCTTCCTCATCCATGTCTCTGTCATCAAATTGTCGATGAAAACCAGACGTGAATCCATCGAAATTCTTTGCCTTGGCCTTCTCTATCTCGTCTTCTGAACCTCACAATTTCTTCCTCACCTCATCAGGTATTTGTAATTTTAGTTGTTGAAATTTGAAACGTTACGCATATTTCAGGTTGCCGTGTACTTGAATGGATGGTTATATATCAGTGATATCTTCTTCGGATAGTGTTGGCGAATCAGATGAAGGGTCCATTTCAAGATTATGGACATATCCGAGAAACACAAGCAGATGTCAGAAAAAGCCTGCTGTTTAGAAGTACTTTCGTAGAATCTTTTGTAAAAGAAGATAGTCTACAGAGATGGGTAGTTCCCTTGATCCTCGGAGTAGTTTTTCATATATTTTCTGTTTCTACAGGGTTGAATAACAGATAATTATAATTCCATATAATTTTTGTTTGGTACAAAAAAAGTTACAAAATTGAAGGAAGAGATTGCACGTGATAAAATTTGAACTCCAATCCTATTAAATGGTCACTTAAGAGTGGTTGCATGAATCAATTTAATTAAACTCAGAGTTCATAATTTCATATAAATTATCGAGGCGAAAGGTTATTGTAATTCTTATATTCAGTGCAAGATGTAAAGATCAAGCTATATAACATACTTATAAACTCCCAAGAATTCAATGTTGGCCTCCATAATAGATTAAAAAAATAAACAAGCAAAAGCAGATGATCTAAAACTAGGCATCATTGAATACCACATTCAATGAGGATGTGTGCAGCTAAACATAAAGTAGAAACTTGGACTCATGAAGATATACAGGTTACAATGCCATAGTAAATTGATTTTAGCAAAAAAACCAAATGGCTTCATGTCCTCTAATCTTTCTTCTTCTCTTTCAATGGCCCTTTAGGAATCTTACTCAGAACCTTCTCATCAAATATTGCATACTGCTTCTTAATCTCAACCATTGCCTTCTCAGAAAATGAGTCGACCTTGTCCTCGTATTTCTCATAAAACACAGGTACAGTGTGTAGCAGAACAAATACTGTCATGAAAATGTCAGTATGTTGTCAGTTATAAAAGCCAAAAAAAAAAAAAAAGACATCTACTTTGTTAAAAGCATGAGAAAATAAATCAAATTCCATACCTATGTAGAACAATGTCAAGAAGTTACAACAATTGCCCACAAGTGACAGAAACCATAATCCAGCAATAACCTAGAGAACATAACAGCAAAGCAATACCTGGTGATTGGTGAGTAGCAAACATAGCATAACTATAACTAGTTCATTTTATCCTGCCGATGGTTTTTCCAAAAGGGAAAATGTATTGGCTAATGGCTAGAATGGTTCACTGGTTTTTGTTTAATAGAAGTCTCAACTAGAAGAAAGCAAGGCAGACATTAAAATTAACATACACCAAGAAACGTCTTCCAATCTTTTCCAGATGCAATGTTCATTCCAACATCCAGAGCTCGGTTGATTGCAATTCTCAGAGCAGATACAACTTCAAGGACACACTTTTCAGGGAGTACAACTTCTGGAATGTTTGGTGGAGAGCTTCATATCGGACAAAGTTATAAGTTACAACAAAATTCAATCACACAATCATATGGACCAAAAGAAAAGTGCTTGAAAACCTTACTGGTTGATGAAATTAGAGGCATTGGACCACAGGAAAAGAATTGCTAAAGAGAGTATCAATATATGGCAAACCAGAGTGATTAAATGGTATTCAAGCATTTCAAATAAAACCCACAATGCTGTTGCACTACCAAGCACACCTCCAGAAATTTTCTTGTTCCTCCATAGAAAGACATCAGCAGCTGCGAAACAAAATCCAATTAAGTAAAAGATGGCAACAAACAATAGAAAAAAAAAATAGAATGCTACAGATTCTTTTGCCATAAGCTTTTGCCAAGAAATATTGGTCAAGGAATGAAAAAACATAGAAACTAATGTATGACAGATGAAAACTTTATCTTACTTTCAAAGAGGATTCATCTACTCATAATATTATCCCTTGAAATGCAAAACAGAAATTCAAAATTATTGATGATGCATTCACAATTCACAAATTACTTAAACGGAAAAAAAAATCATAAAAATGAACACAATTTCGCTGAAATCACTTCGTATCTGGACTAAAACAAACATGTAAGAGACTGTAGGATTTGAAAAAACTATCATCGATCTGATCAAAATAAACTACATTACCAATTTCGTATTTAGAAGTCAGATATGAAATTAATTAACAAAACAAAGCATGTCATATAATGCAATCAACTGACGTTCATTTAAAACACCGCAAAAAATGATTTCGCAGAATCTTAATAAATTCTAAGAGATAGATTAAGATTTAGATATTGTAACTACGTTTTCCATCGCCTAAGACTTGGTGAAGAGGCTTCTCTCTGCCGAAGAGGCGATAAACTTTGGACTTCAGAGGGTCAGCGTAAGAAGGCTTGTCGTCGTCGGAATCGGAAGATGATGACGAATCGCCGTGGATCTTCTCGGCGATCTTCTCCATCAGCGTCCCTTCGAGCTCCGCCATTGGATCTGTATGCGTTGGATCGAGCGAAACGATGGCCGCCTATCGGAATTTTGCAGAGCGATTGAAAAGCAGGTGACGCAAACCGAGGCGTTTAAATTTGTAGCTTTGGTGGGAATGGGAATCCGAAGCTTAGGTTCGGGGTGGGACGAGCCTGACGAGTGTAACGGAAAATGAGGGAAGTCCCGGCGCCCGTAATTTCTTAATTTGAGTTATTCTCTGGCCTGCCAATTGTTTATTGTTTGTTCTTCCTAATTTTTATTTAAATAGATAATTTTAAGCACAATTCTTAATACGATAGAAAAAAAAATAAAATAATATGATTTAAAATTTTAATAAAAACTAAAATATATATATTTTTCATATGAGTTATGAATTATAATATATTAATTTTTATATTTTATATATATTTAATGTAAAATAAATAAAAATAAATACATAAATTGCTATGATTATGTTTATCAGCATCTTTAACATTTTTAAATTAAAAAAAAATAAATCAATAATATGAATTAAAATTTTAAAAATAAAAAGAATGATCAGATTATCATTAAAAAATAAAATTTTAAATATATAAAATTTTTCATTTTGAAAGTAAAAGATATTAATAATTATGTATGACTAACATCAAGTAAGTTTAATTTTTTTTATCTAGGTTAAAGTCAAAATTATTTTTTAATTAAAATAGTTATTTCGCACTTAAGTTTTAATATAATAGTAATGCATCTATTAAAAAAAAAAAGATAATAGTAATGCATCAAGCTATTACATTAAAAATTCATAAGGAAAAGTACTTAATTACCCCACTTCATTGGAGCTAAACGAGCACCAGATGAGACATCTTCTCGTCTCATTTTGTCCATCAATTCATTAATTATTTTACAAAATATATTTAGTTCACAAAAAGAAATAATTATTATATAAAAATATAAAATATCTTTTTTATTTTTTTTTTTTAAATCAAACGGGTAAGAATTTCATTGATGTAAATGTCCATCAATACAACTGAAATTAAAAAATTTAGGAGCCTCATCAATCCAATACATGTCCTCTTCAACCCGTATGCCATGTTTGACATGAATCTAACTTTCTGATGTATTCTTTGCTATCTTGTATAAAGGCACCTATAGTAGACAAAAACTTCATTTGCCCGTTGTAGAGCCTTTAGGATTATCCAAGAGTCCCCTCCCAGAATGATCTGTCTGAATCCCATCTGTAAAGCTACCTCTAATGCTTTAGTTGCTGCAATCGCCTCAATAATACAAGCCTCAATGACCTTATGCACACGGATGGAAGCTGCTCCCACCACTTGACCATGATAGTCCCGAATTATAATACCAATACCCCATTTCCTGGTTTGAGAATTTCGAGCCCCATCAAAATTTACCTTATAGAAGTGTGCTGGTAGTGCTTCCCATCTTCCACTTCTCACCGTCCCTTGTCTTTGTTGTGCGACAGTGCAACTTCTGAATTCTTCCAGTAGCATTCCACTTCTGTGGATAATTATTTCTGCTTGTTAAAGATGTCCTTTCGATGGTTGTGTTCCTATCCTCCCATAATGACCAAAGCAGCATTATAAAAAGCTCCATATCCGTATCTATCAACCTTGAGCATGCTTGTTCCATCCATTCCATACAGTTTTAAGTTGTGATTTGGGTGACCAGTTGCACACTGTTTGAGTCTGATAGAACTTTGTTTGTGGGGTTGTACACTCCCTTATGGCATGAATTACACTCTCACTAGTCATCTCACATCTTGTACACCATGGGTTAATCGTGCATATCCTTTTTGCTAGATTTTCCATTGTTGGCAGTATCTCATGACACACTTTCCATGCAAACAACTTGACTTTAGGTTGTAGAGATGCTTTCCATATTTTCTTCCAAACCATAGGTTGGCTTTCATTTTCTGCTACATTCTCCAACTGCACCCAGTAGCCACCCTTAATAATATATTCCCCGTTTCTGTTGTAATGCCATATCAGCTTGTTTTCCAACCTCGATTTGCTTAAAGGTATGGTACAGATCACCTTTGCCTCCCCTTGATTAAATTCCAGCCTTACCAAATTCTCTTTCCATGCTCCATTTTCTACGTCAATTAGCATGTTCGGTTTAAAATTCCCATCAATTGGCGACCAACTGTCCCTCCACATTTTAATATTTTTTCCAACTCCAACTCTCCACCTAACTCCACTTTCCAAGACATGTTTAGACTCCCATATTCTTCTCTATGTTAATGTGGTAAGTGGCCCAAGGTAGACTCCATGAAACTAGTGTGTGGAAAAGACTTAGCCTTCAACACTTTATAACATAGTGACTCAGTGTTGCGAATTAATTTCTAGCCTTGCTTCCCCAACTTAGCCTGTTAAAGAACCCCAGGTCTCTGAATCCCAATCCTCCCCTTGTTTTAGGCAAACAAAGTGATTTCCAATTAATCCAGTGCTTTCCTCTCCCAGTAGCTTTATTCCTTCACTAAAAGTTACTCAATATACTGGTTAGTTCCTGGTTCAATGACTTGGGCAAGAGAAAATAATTCATTGTATAAGATGGAATCGCTAACAACACTGCTTTGATGAATATTTATTTCCCTGCCTTTGATAAAAACCTTCCACTCCAATGTTGAATCCGATTCTAGACTTTCTCCTTGATTTTGCGAAAGGCTTTTTTCTTTCCTTTCCCCACCATGGTTGGTAATCCTAGGTATTGCACTGGACTATTTGTGGCATTGATCCCAAACAGTTGCTATAAGTATTCTCTCTGATTCCTTATAGTGTTGCGACTAAAGAAAAGAGCAGATTTTTCAAAGTTGATTTTCTGGCCCGAGCTGTTCTCACAAAGCTTTAGCACCTGCCTCACCTTCTCGCCATCACTTCTGCTTGCTTTAGCAAATATCATGCTGTCATCAGCGAAAAATAAATGGTTAACTCTGGGACTACTTCTACTTGCCCTCACCCCTTGTATTTCATTCACTTTTTGAGCATTTCCCAGTAAGGCCGATAAACCCTCTGTGCAAAATAAGAATAAATATGGTGATAATGGATCTCCCAGCCGGAGACCTCTGTTTGGTGCAAATCTGTCAGTCACTTTCCCATTAATAATAATAGAGTAAGACAAAGAACGAACACACTTCATAATGGTCGATATCCATCTATTTGCAAACCTCATCTTGGCCATATCTAGCTTTAAGGCAAAAAAACCATTCCACCTAGTCGTACACCTTGCTCATATCTAGCTTTAAGGCAAAAAAACTATTGCTCCCCTACCTTTTATTCTTAAGGGTATGCAAAAGTTCATAAGCTACCAGAACATTATCTGTGCTAAGTTTGCTTGGAACAAATGCACTCTAGTGAGAATATGTTTCATCCTATTTACCAACACCTTAGACACTAATTTGTAAATAAAATTACAAAGGCTAATCGGTCTAAAATGTGTCATGTTCCTGGGATTCTCAATCTTTCGAATCAAGACAATATAGGTGTGGTTTATCTTATTCAAAATCTGATTTCCATTCAACACATCAAGACAAAAAGAAATAACATCCTGACCAATAATGTTCCAGTATTTCTGAAAGAAGATAGCGGGTTTACCATCAGGGCCAGGTGATTTAGTAGGGTGTATCTGTGTTAGTGCTTGGACAATTTTTTCATATTTTTTTGTCTAGAAAGATACACAATTTGGAAAAATAATATGTATATTAATATTAAAATAATTGACTGAGTTGATGTCACAAATTAATGGAACAATAATTTAATAGATAAATTTATTTTAAAAATTAAATTAAACAAAATAAAGTTAAAATGTATTTATGTTACCTTTTAAAAAAAAATTATACACACATTTAATATCTTTTTCAAAATATATTTTTTTAACTCTTCTTTTTGTATTTTCATTCGTTAATTAAACGTCTTCTCGTCTTGTTTTATCCATCAATTCATTAATTACCCTATTTTTTTCTTTTTTGCTAGATTCATTAATTATTGTTTAGTTAGAAAGACCCTTTGAAAGTTTACGCATCATTCGTTTTTATTTTTACGTAGACTCAGAATTCTCAGTGAGATGTAAAAAGGGAGCATTTTACTTTCTATTATTATAGTATAATTGATTAATTATAATTCAAAAAATAATTATAATTTAAAATTATTTAAAATTTATAAAAAAAATTTACAAAAACACGATAGATCTTTACATGTTTTATTATAATTGAATGATTATAAAAACGTAATAAAAAATTATAAATAACATGCTTGATAAAAAACATGGCATCCTATAAGCGGTGGAGCCAGAAAGATGCAGTGAAAAATATATGGCCTAAAACATCAAGAACTCTAAGCTCTACACGTGGAGGTAAGGGGAGTCCATAGGGATCGCGTTTGAGAACATTTTATTCACGAATTTTTAAAATTTGAGGGAAAGTAATTTTTAGGAAAAAATAATATTAAAAGAAAATATATGATTCTTAAGTTTTGTTGATTTAAAAAGTGTAAGATTTTTATGTTTGATTTAAAAGAATATAATTTTTTATTATATTATCATTAATAATACAATAAATTTAGTAATTTATGATAATTTTTTTAAGTTACATGTTATATTTTATCACGTAAAGTACGTAAAATATAACAAATAATATATTTCTCCACACTTTTATATTGTTTTAATATTTTATATGATAATATATAAAATCGTCACATGATAACATCACCAAAATCTTGTCATCAAATTTTACTATCAAATTCATTTGGTGAAAAAATTTTTGTGATATTTTTTTATTTTAGGTGACATTATAATTTTTTCACCAATTTAAAATTTTATTTATAACAAATTTTTTTGTATAGATTTTAAATGATGTTATTAATTATTGTCACAAATTAAAAACTTTGGTTAACTATTAATGACATTACAATTTTATCACGTCAATATATAGTATTATATAACGATAACATAAATATCATAAACTTTTACCATCATATGTATTTGGTGAGAAATTTTTTGAGAAGTTTTAAATTTTAGGTATTGTTATAATTTTATCAGCAATTTAAAATTTTTCTATAATGTTTTTTCTAATAAAATTTAAGTTGCGTTATTAATTTTTGTTACAAATTGAACACTTGAGTAAATTATTAATAACATTGTAATTTTGTCACATTAATATATGATATTATATGACGATAACATAAATGTCACAAACTTTTAAATGATTTTATGATATTATTTTTCCGTCACTAATAAGTTCAAATTAATGTATAA